TATTATAGATACGTGTCAAGGCCAATGATATTACTCATAGTATCGCAATGATTAAATATAACTTGCTTGACCAACGTTATAAAAAAAAAAAAGAAAAAAGAGAGAGAGAGAGAAAGGAAAAGGAAGAGAAAACTTCGGATATGAGATAACGCGATAAAGTTTTGCACGGACAAAAAAAGGATTGAATAAAATTTAAAGAATATACCAAAAAAAAAATATATATATATACATGTATATATATATATATATATATATGTGTGTCCCGACTTTAAAACTTTAAAGTTTATATACAGTATTCACGGAGGATTTAATCCGTAGAACAAGCAAAAGAGTTGAATGCGTTTGTCATTCGGAAAAAAAAAAGAAAATACAAAACAAGCAAAAGAAAAAAAAAAGAAATAGAAAAAGAACGAAAAAAAAAAGAGCAAGAGAAATAGAAAAAGAACGAAAAGAGAGTGAGGGAGGGAGAGAGAGAGAGAGAGAGAGAGAGAGAGAGAGAAGAAAGGAAGCAAATGATTTATGTACTATGTATGTATATCTGGAATACTGATCCATGTGTATTTGTATATGAACGAAAAAGGACGGACGGACGGGCAGACGGAAGAAGAAGGAAAGAGAGATAAAGTTAGAGATAGAGACAGATAGATACCAAGGGGAAAGAGGGAAAAAGGGAAGCAGAGAGAGAGAGAGAGAGAGAGAGAGAGAGAGAGAGAGAGAAAGAGAGACAGAGAGAGAGAAAGAAGGAGGGAAAGAGAGAGAGATCGAAAGAGTGCACACGTAACACAACACCGGCCTGCGGCGGAGGAACAACGGAACGAGCAACAGGTACATACGTACGTGCATCTACGTAGATCTCTCTCTCTCTCTCTCTCTCTCTCTCTCTCTCTCTCTCTATCTATCTATCTATCTATCTATCTCTCTTTGTCTCTCTCTCTCTCTCTCTCTCTCTATCTCTGTCTTTCTCTATCTGTCTCTCTCTTATTGGCATATGCGCGTAAGTAAGTAAGTAAGTAAGTAAGTAAGTAAGTACACGTGACGTATTCGAATAAGAGATCTTACGAAGAACCTTAAACCGACGTTCTAAGAAGAAGTATATTTTCCAAGATCCACGTGAATTGGCCAATTCGAAAAAGAATTTCAACGAACAAGTGTTTGATCATACATCGAATATCGCTCAAGTGATCAATTATTTATATTGTTATTGAAACAATTTTTTTCTTTTCTTTCTTTTTTCTTTTTCGGGAACTGATTGTTGGCTCTATGTTTAAACTGGATCAACGTTTACGAAACTTTGTCCTAGGGATAGTAAGGAATTAAAAAAAAAAAAAAAGAAAAAAAGGAAAAAATAATCGTGAAATTTTAATAAACCTTACATCTCAATTATTTTATAGATTAAGAATAGACATTAATGATAAATATTGGTTGAGAAAACAAAACGTAAGAAAAAAAGTAAAGAAAAGAAAAGAAAAGAAAAGGAAAGGGAAACATTTTATTCTTCAATTTTAATCGTGTAAAAAAACGAAATACAAGATAATGAAAGAAAATGAAAATACAAATACAAATAACAAAATACAATATGCAAATGATAAAGTGAAAGTAATAAAACAATGTTAATTTTCGTAATAATTCCATTCGTTAGACTTATTTAGATAATATTATTATTCTGGGCAAATGCTGAACCAGACAATTCGATTATTAGTTTAAATAGTTAGCGCAATATTCGTTTAATAGAATTTTAAATAATTAATATAAATATAAATAAGATATATCTGAATAAATATTTTCTTGAGCGTGTAGATTAGCTATTAAGATATCGATTAAATATCGATAAACTATTCGATATTGATCGAAATCATACGACCCGATAAGCAAATGTACAATTGGAACGTAACGATGAGAATTTCTAAGTAATAATAAGAAGAAATAATAAATCCGATCGTTTTAATTTTATCGAAATACACATTTGTTGAATAACAATTAATCACGATATTCTTTTATCGATCTGATCGATTCGTATCTATTCACGTTGAACTTGCTTATCGATCGAATCCAAACGATCTGTCAATAATATTCGTTCGATCGTATATACGCATGTACGTATATACATATCGACATGTAAAAATCATGTTAAAATATGTGGGTAAACATAACATCAATATAAAATAAGACATTTAGATGCATATATGGTTAAGGTACACTTATATATCACTATATACGTTTTCTTTAAAAGAAAGAATAATAGAAATAGACTGGATCAACGCAAGACTGATCGTGCTATGTTCCATAGAGAGAGAAAGAGAGAGAGAGAGAGAAGAAAAAAGAAGGAAAGGGAAAAAAGAACAAAAGTAAAAGAAAATAGAGAAGAATGGTAAGATGCACTCAACAGTATATACGAATCGTTCGGTCATCGAGTTTGCGATGAGTACCAGACGAAACGAGCGAGAAAGACCGATAGAGAAAGAGAGAGAAAGAGAGAGAGAAAAAGAGACGAGAGAGCACGGTCAAGGAATACCATAAAGATGATAGAACGGAGTAGCCTCCCTCTCGGCAAGCCGCACGTTCGAGCCATTACAGTACCATGCGATCGGATATGTCGGTCAACGTGATCCTCGAACTAGGTGAAACTGTACTTCGTTCTAGCGAACCTTCCGTCCTTGCGAGAATAGAAAACGAACGTTCTACTGTATAAATATATATATATATATATATATATATATATATGTGTATGTATGTACTGAAACTGATACATTGATTTTAATGAAATTGTTAGAAATGAAAAAAAAGGAAAAGAAATTTATTTTATCGAAAAAATTCAAAGCGAATTTTTAAATATCATTATGTGCGTTGAATCGAGCTGCACGTTCTAAAAGCTCGTAAAAAAAATTTTGATTATTATAATTATTATTATTATTTTTATTGTTGTTGTTGTAGTTGTTGTTGTTGCTATTCTTATTCTCATAATTATCCTTCTCATTAATATTCTTATTATTCTTGATGTTATTGTTATTCTTATTATTATTATTATCAATCCCGTTGATGTTATTATGGTTGTTGTTGCAGTTATACTTGTGGTTGTTTAATGATTGCTGTTGTAGTTCCCGCTATGGTTGTCGTTGTAGTCGTCGTTGTAGTTGTCATGGTCGTTGTTGTCCTGCTTTTATAGTTGCTGATTTCGTGGTTGTTGTGGTTGTCGTTGTCGTTGTGGTTAGCGTTGCGGTTGTCGTATAGTTGTCGTTGTGGTTGTCGTTGCAATTGTGGTTGTTCTTGTACTTGTTGCTTTCGTTGTGGTTGCGATTATCATTGTGATTGTCGTCGTGGTTGTATGAACATGGTATGGTTGTATGGTTGTATGGTTGTATGTTTGTATGGTTGTATGTTTATAGTTGTATGATTATGATTATATGGTTATCGTTGCCGACATCTACCGACTATACGACAAACTAATATGACAACCATACAACCATAACCATACAACCATACAACCATAACCATACAATCATACAACCATAACCATACAATCATACAACCATAACCATACAATCATACAATCATAACCATACCAACCATAACCATATAACCATACCAAGCATATCCATACAGCCACGACGACAACCATAACAACTAAAAAACAACCAATACAACAATCACTACACAACCACAGCAACCACAAAAATAATCACTACAACAAACACAACAACCACAACAACTAAAAAGCAACCACTACACAACCACAGCAACCACAAAAATAATCACTACAACAAACACAACAACCACAACAACTAAAAAGCAACCACTACACAACCACAGCAACAAAAAAACAACCACTACACAACCACAAAAAGAACTACACCCACAACCACAAAAAGAACTACACCCACAACCACAAAAAGAACTACACTCACAACCATATCCACAACCATAATGACAACCACAATGGCAACCACAACGGCAATCACAACCACAAAGACAACTACAACGACAAGGACGACGACGACCACAACAATAACTACAACGACAGCCACAACGACAACGACACCACGACAATGGCAACCACAACAACAACCTCAACAATAACCGTAAAGACAATCACAACAATAAAGAAAACAACAGCCACAAAAATTACCACACCGACTACAACAATCACGACAACAACAACCACAACGACAACCCCTACAACACTAGACCCCTACAACGACTTCAGCCACAAAATCAACCAGAACAGCAACCACAACAACCACAACATCCACAACAACAACCACAACAACCACGACGACCACAACAAAAATAACAACAGGATTGATAATAATAATAAGAATGAGAATAACAACAAGAACAATAATAATAATAATGTCTATTCATGCTTGACATATTCATATTTCGTCTATTCTATGTATGGCCTATTTATTCTTGACCTATTCATACTTGCCCTATTCTTTCGATACCTATTATTGTTATATCTAGTCTTCTTACACCTAGTCTCGTTATGTCCATTCATGTTTTTCCTATTCTTGTTATAACTATTCACGTTATACTTATTTCTATTCCTATTGGTCTTATTATTTTTGTTATTCCTATTATTCTTATTATTCTTATTATTGTTACTCTTATTCTTATTATTATTTTTATTATTACTATTATTATTCTTCTTCTTATACTTATTATTATCATTCTTATTATTCTTATTCTTATTATTATTATTATTATTATTATTATTATTATTATTATTATTATTATTATTATTATATGCTAAATTATTGTTAATCATATATATGTGATAAACGTGAGAGAATATTAATAAAGGAAAATCGAAGTGAATTTTAACGTGTTAACATTATTATTTGAAGTGTTGGAATAGAAATATTTCCGACAAAAAAAAAATTGTTGATTAAAAATTTTGTATTACATATATACGTATGTACCAAACTGATACAACGATTTTATGTAGGAAATGAATTTAAAAAGAAAGAAAGGAAAAAGAAAAGAAAAGAGCAAAAACAAAATTGTCGATAAAAAATTATTCGTTTACCCTGGAGCAAATACGAGGAAAATTTTTTAACATAAAAATCAAAGCGATTTTTGATTTATGAACTATTTAAAGTATACGCCTAGGAACATTTTTCTTTCTTCTCTTCCTCTTCTTTCACCAACCTCCTCACCCCCTCTCCACCACCAACTTATCGGACTATCATATGAAATATATTTTAATTATAATATATAATGGATTTCTATATCTACATTTAAATATTACAGTTTTTCGTCAATTGCTTTTAACAAATCAAAACAAAAAAAAGAGAGAAAAAAAAGAAACTGAAATCGAATACCAACATAAATATGTTTTCACAACTCGTAGGTACATATTTCCAAACGTATACTTTGTTTTGTATAGATTTTTTGCCAAAAAAGAAAAAAATATATATATATATACATACTGTTGAAGTACTTGGTACCGTACTTACTGACCATATTAATTAATGCTATCCACGTGTGTGTTTGTATGCGTATACGTAGAAGTACGTAAACTTTTTTCAAAAGTCTGAAAAACTCGCTAGATTCTGAACGATCACAACTCTAAAGTAGCAAATAGTAATTTGTGTTAATACTCATATATATATATATATATATATATATATATATATATATATATATATATATATGAATATATATATATATATGTACACACACACACATTTCTTTTTTGTTGTTTCTCCTTCGATGGTCTTTATTTTGAGTATATTTTAACTACGTCATATTTCAACTTTAATGTAAACTTAATATCATTAATTAATAACTATATTTCATTTAAATCAACAAATTAATAGTTTATTTGAACAAATACAAATGATGTATATTTTTATAGACGATAATTAAATATATTTCGCGACACAAATACGTATTTGTGTGTATATATAAATATATATATTTATTTAATTATTTATTTATTCATTTAATTATTTAGTTTCTAAGTTTCACTTAAAAAGACGAGTTATAATAAATGAACGGTCGCAAGTGAAATAGGTAAATGGAAAAAGAAAATGGAAATTAAAAAAAAAAAAAAAAAGAAAAAAGATAAAGTGACAAAGAAAAAATAAATAGACGAAAAGAAAAAAAAAAAAATGAAAAAGAAACACGTGGATAACACGCACAAGAATCGAAAGTCATGTCATTGACACGCTGATTTACATATCATAGCATAATTAATTTCATTAATTCGTGGCTAGATATATACATACATACATATACATAGATAGGCAAATACATACGTTCGAATGAAAAGGCGTGTGCCTCGAATTAATGAAGTCGGTAATCGCCATATAACTAGATTTTGACATTCATTCGGTGGCACACGGTAAAAGTTTATTATCGGAATCACGTACCAACACACAAAGCGAATCTCGATTCGATTAATTATTACGAAAGCAATGAACCCGCAACCTTACCGGCGGCATATGGAGAAATTTATCGAAGACCTGCCAACGTGTACCAACGGAGATATGATATTTGGTTTAATTACAAAACCACTCTCTATGCTTTATAGTTATTAACTTTATATAAAATTGTATTTACTTGATGAACCTATGTATGTATGTATTTATGTATGTACGTATTCGAAATAGAAAAGAAAAGATGATAAATCTAATAAAAATTTCTAAGATCGATTTTTATCGAACGTGAAAACAAAGTCGTTCTGGAAGATCGATGTGACGAGGAGAAAAAGGTGGATGAAAAGAAATAGAAGAAGGAAAGACGAAGAGGACGGGGGGAAGTGAGTGGAAGAGAAGAGGAGGAGGAGAAGGAGAAGGAGGAGGGATTAAAGAAAGGATAAAAAGAGGAAAAGAAAGAAATGGAAAAAAAACGATTTTTATAAGAGATTAACGAACGTTGTTAAATGCATAACGTGCAAAATTATCGAATTCGCGAATTTGTTTGTACTTGGAAAAATCCGCAAAGTCTCAAATACTTTCCGTTTCAGACGTATTAAAATAATATCACACAATACGTACACACATATACATAAATAAGTACATACGTATTTATGATGTATGTACTTATATATATATATATATATGTACGTATAGTATCTACTAGCTGGTGTTTGCTCACGTACTGACAGACCGTACGTTGTACTGTTATGCGTTGGCACGCGTGACGCAACAGGAAAGCGCGATCCGATTGGACTTCCTTGTCTCGAACGGAGAGACACCGCTGGATACGTTGGTATATATGTACATATATCTACATACATTTATATATACACAACTATATATACATATATATATATATATATATATATATATATAAATGTATGTGTATATAAGTACGTGGCCACGTTACGTATTACTTATACGCCGCAAACGAGAAATGAGACTTTTGCCTTATTGTTAAGCCTTCGTGAGCTTCGATCCGTGAAAAGTAAATTTGTAGAAAAGAACGATTTTATAAGAAAATGTAAAAAAGAAAGAAAACTAAAAAAGAAAAAAAAAAAAAAAAAAAAAAAGAAAGAAAGAAGAAAGAAAAATTGCAAAAGTTATAAAAAGAATAAGAAGGTTAGGGTGATATATAAAATGATTATATTTTACGCGCGTAAGATCTTTTGAGTCGGTGAAAAAGAAAAAGAAAAAGAAAAAAAGAAAAAAAAAAAGAAGAAGAATTGAGACCGATACCATCTTTTTTTCTTCTTTTTTTTATGTTTTTATTTTAATTTTTCTTAAAGATCGAACAAATCAAGGTCATAATATTTGTTGTATCCATTCTTTCACTATTTTGTGTGTGTATGTATGTGTGTGTGTGTGTGTGTGATTTTTTTTCTCATGACTCGTTTTCATTTTTCTCTTCTTTTTTATATGCACGTACATACGTACATACCACCTACGCAATATACACAAAATATATTACGTATAATATATTAATGCGTATATGTCCGTATACACACACACACATACATATATATATACACAATATAAATATATATATATATACATATATGTATATATAAATAAATATCATATATAAATATTTCTCAACGTACTTCTCGTATGGAATAATATACTCGTCTGGTGGATCGTGCGTGCGTGTGCTCTTCAGTACGATGGAAGCGTATCGAGCAGCTGCTTCGAACAGCCGGCTGGGCGAGAGCAGGCTTCCTCTTTCCCCTCTCCACGCCGTCACTCTTTCTCTCACTCTCTCTCTCTCTCTCTCTCTCTCTCTCTTTCTTTAATACATACACACACACACACAACACAAACATACACATGTTGGAGTCTTTCTCTTTCTTTCTTTCTTTCTTTCTTTCTCTCTTTCTTCCTGACGTCGAACGCGGACTTAGTTTCCGTTCTAACTGTCCTCGCAATCGTCCTCGACGTTCTCATCGTCATCGTCGGGGGTCCGCACTGAACGTGCGTAGATACGGTTAAAAAAAATTTGCAAAACAATAGATCGAACGAACGAACGAACGAACGAACGAACGAACGAACGAACGAACGAACGAACGAATGAACGAAAGAACAACAAAATAAAAAGTTGCTAATACATTTTTATGACATAGGATTATTATTTTTATCGATTCTCGTCTAACTAATTTTGTTACAACTTATAGGAAATAAATCCTTCGAACTCTACGAATTTTCTTTTCTATTTCGTATAGGTACATACACACATACACATACATACATATATATATATATATATATATATATACATATCGTTTTTCATCCCTTAGCAATCAATCGACGTGACAACGCGCAACATCATAATATAAGATAGGGAGGAAAGAGAGATAGACAGATGGGGAGAGAGAGAGAAAGAGAGAGAGAGAGAGAGAGAGAGAGAGAGAGAGAGAGAGAGAGAGAGCGTGTGCGCCTTACCACGGTCCTCTTTGGGGAACTTTCCACGTTTACCGAATCGCAGTCGGTAACCAGTTCCGTTCTCGGGTGCATACACGCGTGTCGTGAACCCAATTCCACCAGAGAGGGAACGATTGGTTCCCTCTTCGACATCCTGATGTATCGCCGATACTGCAGCTACCTTCTATTCCCGGCTTTCCTCGCCGTTCCATAGTTTTGTTTGCGGTATAGATCTCTCTTCTCTCCCTCTTGTTATGTAGTGTGTGTGTGTGTGCGAAAGAGAGAGAGAGAGAGAGAGAGAGAGAGAGAGAGGGGATGACCTCGCATGCGTGCTTCTCTCTCCCTCTTCTTCTCATGACTCTCTCTCTCTCTCTCCCTCTTCTTCTCATGACTCTCTCTCTCTCCCTCTCTCTCTCTCTCTCGCTTTTACGTTCACCTCCCGTTTCGATCACAGCTTCTATATACCGTTCGCTTCTCTCTCTCTCTTTCTCTCTCATTCTCTTTGTCTGTCATATATATTCTCTCTCTTTTTCTCTCTCTCTCTCTTTCTCTCTCATTCTCTTTGTCTGTCATATATATTCTCTCTCTTTTTCTCTCTCTCTCTCTCTGTCATTCTCTTTGTCTATCACACATACTCTTTCTCTCTTTCTCTCTCTCTCTCTCTCTCTTTCTCTCTCTCTCTCTTTTACTCTCTCTTTCTCTCTCTGTCTGTCTGTCTGTATCTCTGTCGCATCAGATATAACTCTAAAATCTCCTGATAAAACGAACAGAGGTAACAAGAATTCCAGCTTTTTTTTTTTTTAATTAATTCTTCACAAATGCCGATAATTATAAATAATTGATTGATGATTATAATAATTGAATACCGAAAAATGATACATATATATATATATATATATATATATATATATATATATATATTTGCAGAGTTAAAAGAATAAAAAAGAGGAATAGAGAGAGAAAGAGAGAGAGAGGGAGAGAGAGAGATCGAAACGCGCAAATAGACGACGACGAGGTTAGGAGCCGGCTTCTTGCCTCGCAGCAGACCGATACCGCTTGAAAACTTAATGCCTTCTCCCGGCTTCCCTTTCCCCACCCCTTCAGCCATCACTCCTCCTCCTCCTTCTCCTCCACCTCTTCCTCTTCCTCCTCCTCCTCTTCGTCCCATCCTACCACCCGACTATAATTATATTTAGCGGCAGCTTAGATCGATCCGTAGTGGAGAACTGGAGGAAAATACTCGAGCATCGAAATTTTCGATTTACCCTAGTGCGAATGGAAAATAGCGAGTTGTATTCCGGGAATGTAAAACAAAAAAAAAGAAAGAGAGAGAGAAAGAGAAAGAGGACAATAGAAAGAGAAGAAAGAGAGAGAGAGAGAGAGAAAGAAAGAGGAAAATAGAAAAAGAAAGAAAGAAAGAAACAGAGAGAGAGAAAATGTTTCGTTGGAAGGACATGGACGAAACGGGAAGGAAGAGTTTCGTCTTTGAGAGAGACTCGTAAGAAGTCGACCTAGAAAGAGAGACTTATGCCTTGTCTCTCTCTCTATCTTTCTCTCTCTCTCTCTCCCTCTCCCTTCCTCGAGAACGAAAGAAATCTTTCCTTCGTCCTCGATGTCGCGAAGTAATGGCAACCAAAATTTCAACGTAGGCAAATTACTACTGGATTACAAAATTTCCGCGGCCTTCGAAGCTGCTTGATTAGCTTGCTTGCTTGCTTGCTTGCTTGCTTGCTTGCTTGCTTGCTTGCTTGCTTGCTTGCCTGCTTGCTTGCCTGCTTGCTTGCCTGCTTGCTTGCTTGCTTGCTTGCTTGCCTGCCTGCCTGCTTGCTTGCTACTTGCTTGCCTACTTGCTGCTTGCTTACTTGCTTGCCTACTTGCTTGCTTGCTTGCTTGCTTAGTTGCTTGCTTGCTTTCGTTTTAGCGTCTTATACTCACGCACGACATACGCATATGCATACATACATACATACATACATACATACATACATACATACATACATACATACATCATACATACATACATACATACATACGTACATACGTACATACATACATATATACATACATATATATATACACGTACGAGAGTGCGTACGTGTATACTTAAATAAGTATTTCGCCTTCGCATCGGAGCGCGCGAACGAGCCAAAGGTTGCCTTGCCGCGCGCCTCGCGAAACTTTAAACGTCGCCGCGGCAATACGACGAACTTACTGCCTCTGCCTCTCCCTCTCCCCCTTGCCCCTTTCGAACGAAACCAGAATGCCAGTTTCACGCTCTCTTCTTCTTGTAAACCAAAAGGATCGGCGGGAGTCTCTGCTTTATCGGCGGCCGATAAACTAACTACAACGTCGTCGGATTTCCATCCTCGTGTTTCTCTCTATGCGCTCTTCTTCTTTTACCTCCCTTTTAACCCATTGTCCCACAACCCTATCTCTTTTTCTCTGTCTCTCTCATCATTCTGTTTGTCTTCGCTCTTTCTTTCTTTCCTTCTTTCTCTCTCTCTCTCTCTCTTTCTCTATCTGTCTCTCTCATCATTCTGTTTGTTTCGCTCTTTCTTTCTTTCCTTCTCTCTCTCTCTCTCTCTCTCTCTTTTTCGTTCGCATACGTCGTCATCGTCCAGCCCGTTACTCGCGATGCGCGCGATGAGCGCTAAGAATAGGACGGTTGGTTATAATACATATGTACATGTAGGAGAGAAAGAGAATTCCTGTCGCGGTGACTATCGCGACCACGTCGCTCGCCACTGGAAATACGTCGGGTATTCCTGGAAATAGTTCTTATAAGGTAAACCACGAGCTCGTCATATATAGAAGGTCAAGTTTTTAAAAGGTACCCATATTAAATATTTTCGTTATTCGTCATCTGCAAACTACGCACGTAAAATCTAAACTATCTCATTATGTACTATTATTATTACTATTTACTATTGCTACTATTACTCTTTTAAGATACGATCAACTTAATCCCTTCTTTTTCTTTTTCTTCTTCTTCTTCTTCTTCTTCTTCTTCCTCTTACAATATTCTTCGAAGTTACAATAGAAGAGCAATACCGAGAAAATAATTTTATTCGATTTTAATCGCTCACTCCGTCCATTTGTCCGTCCGTTTGTCCGTTCGTCCTCATTCGTTTTTTAGGATGAAACGCGTGCGCGCGCGCGCCAGCGCGCATTGGCGCAAGCATCGACTACTCCTCCGCGTCATCGTCCTTGTTTTTAAACGACAAATAGAATTTCGGCATGGACCGACCAATCGCGCTTCGAGGAAAAAAAAGGACGAGTGGGAGAGAGGGAGGGGGACGGGAGGGAGGGAGGCGACTAACGATTACATTTGCCATTCGTTCATCTCGTCGGTAATCGCGGGATGCGATTCTCTACCCCCTTTGAATTGATACATACATCGTACTTACATACGTATTCTTTTTTTGAGGGACATTTCTACTATGAACTATCAAAAAAAGAAGAAAAAAAAAGAAAAAGAAAATGAAAAAAAAAAAATAAGAGTAAAGAAAAATATCGACATAAATAAATCGATTATGATATATTTCATGGGTGCAAAAGCATCCCCGAGATTAATTCGAAAATATCAATGTGATTATTATTGTACACGACTGCGTCCATACGATTACGATGATAATTCTCTTCGTGGAAGTCATATATTATAGTCTATCGAGAAAAAATATTGTAACATCTTCGTCTTCGTGGTAGTCGTCAATGTCAACGTCAACCGTCAACGTCAACCGTCAACGTCAACGTCATCGTCATGGCGTGGATAAAAAAAGAAACAACAGAAGAAGACGGACGGAGAAGAAGAAGAAGAAGAAAAAGGAACAAAAAAAGAGAAAAAACGAGTAGGGGAAGAAAGAGAAGGAAGGAGAAAAAGATTGGGGAGGGGAACAGAGGGCGGAGGGTAAGGGGTTGGGCGGGTGCGGGGTGTGCGAGACATTCGCCATAAAGAATCGAGTTACAAAACCGGGTTGCAAAAGGTCTTTACGAGATGAGGTAGAAGAAGCAGCCTTGTAACTAGCAACGCCGTTGCCCAAGTACCCTGAGATATGTAGAATGAACGAACGGTCGTGGCCGACGGCGATGGCAACGGCAGCAATGGCAGCCGACGTCGTCGTTGTCGTCGTCGTCGTCGTTGCCGTCGTCGTTGCCTCCGTCGTTGCCGGTATCGTCGTCATCGTCGTCGTTGTTGCCGCCGTCGGCCGGCGTTGCTGAGTCACCGCTGCGTTGCCGATACACCACGGCTGCCTTTCGGTCGCGCGCGCCGTTGCTGCTGCCAGCGTCCGTGTGGCGTTGCCGAGTTTCCTGCGCTGTTCCCTTTCCCCTTCCTGCTGTTCTCAGCGCGATGAGCCTAGCGCCGGTCCCTTTCGTCTCTCCTCGCGCAATTCCTCATCCTTCCCGCACCCTTCACCCACACCTTCGATACCCCACCATTGTCGTCTTTGTCGTTTTAGTCATCATCATCATCGTCATCGTCGTCTTCATCGTCTTCATCGTCTTCATCGTCGTCGTCGTCGTCGTCGTCGTCATCGTCGTCTTCGTCTTCGTCGTTGATGCCGCAGCTGCGCTCTCTCGCGTGCTACGCGCGCAGACCGGCGGCTGAGC